TTATATGTGAAAAACAAGCTGAGTTGGGGTGGCACATACCTTTAGTACTAGCACTTGGGAGGCAGGAACAGGCAGATCTCTGAGAGTTCAAGACAACCTGGTCTACAGAGTGAGTTACAGGGCAGCCATGGCTACACAGAGAATCCCTGTATTGAAGAAAAGAAAGTCAAATGATTTCCAAAGATCAACATACATTCATATCTAAGCAACTTGTTGTACAATAACAGAGTATAAGATATTTTTCTCAGCCAGGTCTTACTGACAGGCTGTATTTTAGAGTTACAAAGAAAGGACCAATAATTTTATAATTTATCTCAAAAGGTAATTTTATTAAAAAAAATCTCAAAAGAATCACAAATCTACATTCTTGATTACTAAAAATCAACATTTCTGTTTTAAAGCCTCAGGGTGCATACCCACTCGTCAACAGTATATTTATTAAATCATATCAGGAAACTGAGAGCTAAAATGGGTACAAGGAATTAATCATCACCTGTGATCAAGGCATATCAGCCAGCAATAGCCGGGCTGCCATTTTTTGTTCCCAGACCCCAAAGACCTCACTCAACTATGTGCCTTTCTAAATGTTAAATTGTTCCTTCAAGACTTTCTGCATCAAAGTCATTAACATAAACATCTTTGAAAAGTTTTTACATCCCAATAAACCTCTCCACTGATGCAATAATCTGAATCAGACCAAATCAAACCAAATTAGAAAAAGCCCAGGTTTAACAGATGCCAGCATTCCTGGGAGGCCACCCTATGTCCTCAGTGGGGAGATGGAGAAGGAAGATTGGAAAGCCACATTTGTTCTCTGCAGGGGCGGGGGCAGTTTAAATATCCCATGGGAGTGGTCTTCCCTTTTCCTCTTCAATGGTCCTGTTGGCTTTCTGCTCCCCCTAGGGTCACCCGAGAGCACAGGGGTCCAAATAAACCTGGATATCTTTTAACAAGGTCTGATTCGGTCTGATTGGGATTACACGTGTTAGCAGAGAGGCTCGATTTTAGCAATATTCCTAACGTTTTGGAGGTCCCACTGGGGGGTTTGGAGGATGTGTTTTTTCCCAGGGGCTCAAGGCCACATGCAGAAAAATGCTTTTATTGAGAGTGCTCTCTGCCAAGTTAAATCGGCTTCCAGGCTAGATTGGCTTTGTCTTGGTAAGTTCCCCTTGTTTTTGCTCTATGTCAATAGGGTTTAAGGATCCATTCACATCTATGTTTATTGATTTGGGGGCTTTCTGTTTAAGTCGCAGTCGCGCCCAAGGTCTTATCCAAGCGGCTAAGCCCGGTTTAACTGAGGTGAAGATTGTGTGGCCAGGGATGCATACCATTCAATTTTCACAGCCCCGTTTTGGCTCAAGAGATGTCTCAGTAGATGCAGTGTGACAGACTTGAACCCCACAATTGGGCACAGACTTTTCAAATAGGTTATTGAAATTCGATATCAGATCCTTTATTGCCCCTGGATTGCCTCCTACAAAATCTTTATAATTTGGGACTGTCTGATGTAATCTGTCCCAAAAGGCTAATATCTGTATGCGCTAGATTTGGCTTCAGTACAACCTTGACAATGGGATGCGATGCATACCAGAGGGAATTCTTGAGTTTTCCATCCTCCAGTACCTAGAAAATTATTGCCACTGTGGGGATAAATGGACAGAACTCTCATATGTCCATGAATCTGGGCACTGTGCCCTCACTCCTCTCTCAGTAATCAGGGTCTAGGAAAACTGATTCTGATTGCCAGGGTCACAGAGGCTCCAGATTCCCTACCATCCAGGAATTGGGACCCTGAAAGCCCTGCAAGGACTATGCAACCTAATACACTGGCCCCTCCCCCACTCCCTTGACCCCTTACTACCCAACCCCCTCCTATGGAACAACTTTCTCCACATTCCTTCCCTTTCCCACCCCTACCTACTCCCTCCCCAGCCAAACTGGAAGTTTAAGGTTAACTTTCTCCCTATCCACCTTACTCCCCTCCCCTCCCTCCAACTGCACCTATCTACCCCTTTTCCCTCAACCTACTTCTTAGACCCCCTCTACACACTGGACTAACCTCTACCAATCCTCACCCATCTCCTCTCTCACCAGATTTTGCATAACCCTGTACTTCTCTGCCTCTCTGGAAGTCAGCTGGAGCCAATGGTATTATTAAAGTCCATGTTCCCTTCTCCCTTCAATTAGGAAAGCTGTTGAATTCCTTCTCTGCTAATCCTTCTGTTAATGTTAAGGAGTTTCACTCTCTGTCCCAGGCCCACGATCTAACCTGGTATGACTTCTATGTCTTCCAGGCTTCTTTCTATTCTCACTCCTGAAGAGGGAAGTAGAATTCAGGCAGCAGGTAGACAGTATGCAGACCAGACTCACAAGCCTCCCCAGCAGGAGCCACGGTCCTGGCTAACTATTTTATTTCTCAGTCAGCACCAGATATTAGAAAAAAGTTTTTAAACATGCAGAGGAAGATCCCAAATCCCCATACAGGGATTAGTGAAAATGGCCTTTAAAGTTTTTAACGCCCAAGAAGAAACAGCTGAGTCCTCCTGACAACAGGCGGCAAAGCCCAAGCCCAAGCCTTAGTAGCTGCTATGAGGTCACTGGGATCCACAGAAGGGGGACAAGGGAAGTCAACCATAGTGGAGATCAGTCTAAGTAAACCTTGCTAGTAGCTGCATCAAATGTGGTCTAAATGGCCATTTGGCACAGTATTGCCCTGGGCCTCCTACGAGGCCATGCCCTCTCTGCTAGCAATCTGGACACTGGAAATCATAATGCCCCGGTGCAGACTTGTCCTCTATGCCATGCCACAGAGGTCCAGCCTCACCAACATTGGCAAGTGAGAATGTGCCAGCCTTCGAACTTCTCAACCTTATGGAAGATCGACATGACCCAGACTTGGTGACTCCCTTATCCCTCTCTGAGCCATCCCAGTCTATCAACAGCCTCATGCTTTGATGCCTTACTTAAAATCCTCCACACTTATCCGTCTTTCTTCAAAATATTGCCTCAGAGATCTGGGGAATGTGATATTTAAGTATTTAATTATTTAAAAAACTTTTCATAACAAAAAAAGAAAGGCTGGCTCCTACCAGCAGCACTCTGTTTCCTCCAAGAAGACAGACAAATGGACAACATCCATCTGCAGTTGCAGAACAGCGTCCATCTGCAATTCGCTTCAACTGTGAAACACTGACCATTGGGTAAAACTGCCTTTCACCTAAACTGAAGACTTCCAGACGTGGACAGAGTCATGGGAATCGACAGCCTAGCTTCCTGGGTAAGGTAGGCCTGTCTTCCTACAGATTTCTTAGCCCACAGGGTCTTCTGGAGCCTGACAGGCCCTGTGCTAAACAGCAAAGGTTAAATGCAACCTTCAGCGACCATGGAGGACCCAAAAGAGTAGCTCTGGGTGCCAACCAAGTGAGTTCTCTGTCATTTTTTAATCAGTAATTCAAGTGAAATCTTATCCTTCTCAAAGATCTCTGACAGTTTGATAGCTGAGAGGTTTTGCCAGGTTGCCCCACCAAATAAAAAATACCTTTCATTATACAAAAATATGTCACAGTCGTTATACAATATATGTGTCTAAAACTTCTGTTTTTACAAACCCAAGGAGTTCTTGTGAGTTCCAGGGAGCCGAATTAAAGAACCCACCATAGAAAGGTCAGAT